CCCTGAGGAAGTAGCTGAAGAAGGCATCGATTTTATTTATACCATTCGGGAACATCATTTAAAAAGCCATCACCAGGAAGGAGGGTGAGACTTGCCCTAAATTGCTTCAAGGGGAAGACAGAGCAGCAGTGGTAGTGGTTTGGGAGCAGTATAAGAGTTTTCTCCTTGTGAGAAAGCTTCAGCCAGGCCACTGTTTGCCTGAAGAGCAAGGGTGTCTTCTCTCTGGGAGATTCTCTGACAAAGGCCCAGCCATCACAGTTCCCATCCTTATATAATGCTGTCCTACTTCATAGAATTGTTGTGAGGATTACATAAAATAACACAAAAGTCCTTAATACAGTATGCCGCATAAGTACTGCATAAATGTTAACTTTTATTATTTTAATAATAATTGCGGTGACTTCCCCAAAACTTAATTATGGTGCTCTTGTCAGAATGAATGCATCATGGCTGACTCATTTCCTAATGCAACTGAAAAGTAGCTTTCAGCATTATATAAGGACATGAGGGAGACAGAGAGAGGGGTTCACACTTTAGATGAGGACTAGACCAGGGTATCTCTCAGATCCCTTTCAAAACTGATATTCTTTATTCTGTGAAAACTGAGTTAATGCAGTATCCTGGAGACAAATCTAAAAAGTCAATTTTAGTATCTGTGTGATCTTTGTAGTTGTTGCAACAAAACCTCTTGATAACATTTTCTATTTCAAAAATTTCATAATTTCACTTTAGTTTTGCCTTTCTTTGCAAGTCCTATAGATGAGAGAAGCACATTAACAGTTTTGTCGTCTTGTTGTTATTTGGGGCTTTTTGTTAGTATTTTGATGCAACTAAATCTGTATCTAAGATTTAACATGCTTTTTCTTTCCACTAAAGTCATTGAAATACATTCACCTAGTCATTCACATCTGAGGTGTAAATGGATTTTCTGAAAGTTTTTTCAGGAGACAATGAAAGCCAGTCAGTTTGTGACTTGACTTCTTCAAGTGTTGCAATCAGAAAGCTTTATACACCATCCCAATTGCAAGGATGCTAAAATTATGCCTTGATCTTGAATCTGCAAGGAGGAGGTAACATCTTTTGCTAGAAGTGCTTATCTCCTACTGCTTTGGTTTTATCCATTTTCAGGAGAATTTACTTAGGAAAGAGAAAAGAGAAATAATTAAATTGAGCTGCATATACTCAAAAGAAAATAACATGTTTATTTAATTTTCTAGTTTTCAATGATTTTTGCTGATGCAGTTTGAATGTTTATCTCACCATTTTTACCACTGATATTTGCAAAAACTTGACTCCAAAAAAATGTGTCTGCCATATGACATGAAGGCTTACCTCTCAATTTGTTTTATGTCATCAAAAAGACATACTGAGCCTGAAGCTCCTTTCAGATTAACTCTTAAAATACAACCCTGAGGAAACAGCTTAACATTGCAAAGATTTTATTTACACTGTTCAAGAGCACAGGCTCTGGAGCCAATGGGAGGTTCAATTCCTGGCATTGCTTCTTCCTACTTCACTCAGTCTCTCTGAGGCTCAGCATTCTTACCTAGTAGATGGGATAATATAATAATAGTACCTATGTCAGAGAGTTGTTGTGAGGATTACATAAAATAACATTCCTAAAGTCCTTGGTACAATACCGAACATAAGTACTACATAAATGTTAGTTTTTATTATTTTAATAATTGTGATGACTTTGCTAAAAATTATGGTGCTCTTCTCAAAGTGGATGCCTCCTGGATGACTCTCTTCCTAATACAACGGAAAAGTAGGTTTCAGCATTATACAGTGACTCACTCTTAATGAACTTGAACAGCTATTCTTGAGAAAATAAGAAGGAATATTAAATCCAGAATTAGCAAATACTTCCTATTTGCTATGAAATTTTTACTATTTTGGGAACAAATATCATAAGTCCTTGGAAGAGCTGCAAAGAAACTATCACGTATTGGTGACTATCCATTAGAAGTATTCAGGGAGGAAAACCTGTGGATAACAACACTCTTCTATCTCACTGATTTTCTTTAATATCATTATGTTGAATTCTTTTTCAGGCATTTCATATATTTCCTTCTGCTTTGGATCTGTTACCAGAGAATTGTTGCATTCCTTTGAAGGTGTCATGTTTTCTTGCTTTTTCATATTTTTTTGTCCTTACTGCACATCTGGCATAACAGTTGCTTCTTCCAATTTTATGGATTGACTTTAGTAGGGAAAGCCTTTTTCCTATAGATATATCTATAGTGTTAGTTTGGTAGGTTGCCTTGGCTTTGATTCTGGATGGGCACAGTAATGTAGTCTCTGTATTTCTTCAGCTGTAATCTGCTCAGTAGTGTCTGTTGTGGTTGTTAGTGGAGGCTGTGATGAGGCATTTTTAGGGATAGGGACTCCAGAAGTCCAGTCCATGGACCCCAGAGGTGGTGGTGGAGTGCAGTGTGGACATGCCCTTAGGCCCTGGATGGTTTGCATAGGTGCTGGCAGTAGTGGGCAGAGTGGGTGCCGACACTGTGCATGGGTGCTGGCAGCAGCAGTGGTAAAAGAGGGACAGCTTCTCCTAAGGCCCACCGACGATGCAAACAGGTGTCAGCAGCAGTAGGTGGGGCAGATTAATTCCCAGGCCCTAGAATGTTGTCCACAGGCACTGGTGGCTGCAGTGGCAGGTGAGAGAGGTCTCTCCTCAGTGGTCCACACAAGCACCAATGGTGATAAGGAAGTGTGGGTCAATCCCAAGGACCCCAGACAACATGCACATTAGCGGCACACACGGAGGCCCGTCCTCAGGCCCCCACATGGTGCACATGGGTGCTGGCGGGAACAATGGATTAATCCTCAGGTTCTCAGATGACCTGTGCAGGTGGCAGCAGCAGGTAAGCGAGGCCTAGTCTTAGTCCCCTTGAGGGTCTATGTTGGTGCTGGTAGTGGAGACAACAGGCAGGGTGGGCTTCTCTTGAGGCCTCCCAATGGTGCGCACAGGTGCCAGTGGCAGCGAGCAGTGTGGGTCAATCCCTAGGCCCCCATATGATGTGCAGAAGTGCCAGCGCACTGCTGGCAGGTGGGGCTGGCCTGACCTCTGGTCTGCAGATGGTGCCTGCAGATGCCAGTGGGTGGCACATGTCGATCTCCAGACCTTCAGATGATGTGCACGTGCAGGCAGAGTGGGCCTATTCTCAGGCCCCCCATGGGTGCTAGATGCAGTGGCACAGGGGTGGGGGGTATCACTCCTCAGGCCCCTGGACAATGCACACTGGTAGTTGTGGCAGCGCCGGTTGCAGCAGTTATAGCACTCTATATTGAACCTTGTTTATAGATCAGTGTCCTCTACTGGATTATAAGCATTTAAGCATAGGGACCATGTTGTACTCATTCTTGAATCTCCTGGATGAGCCCAGTACCCAGTATATAAGTGGATGTTTAATTATATGTTTAAACAAATCTGCTTGAAATTGAATGCCTCCCATGGGGGAATAGACTGAGTCAGCCAGGTATTTTCATTTTCATGTGGCCCTTTAAAGTTTGGAATTCCTCCTAAAGTCTGAACTTAGTACAAGTCATTGAAGGACAGTAGCCCTTCTAAGTTATCAATTATTTGTCATTTAGCACATTTGGCTCTCTTAAATGTGTTAATGAGAACCTGTTTCATAGATACCAATGGAGTTGATAGGCCACAATACCTGTTTTAATAAGTAAGATTTAAAGTGATTCTTAGATTAAGATATTGTATTCTCTTTGGCCAATTGCGAAAGTGTGCACAATAAAAAACATTCATTCTATTGTTTAATAATAAAACAAGTCTATGGATATTCACATGTGTATATGCCCAAGAAAGACATGGTAGCATTGTTCGTTTAAGGTAAGCCAGTCCTTCCTGGGCCACAGGCAAAACAATTGAGTGACTATTATGACACAGGGACTCTCATGTAAATACAAAAAGGATAAAAAAGGACTTTTTTTCTTCCAAAAGTAAAGAAGTAGTCCCAGATCTGGATCTTGGACACTGTCTGGGTATAGTACTTCTGTCTATCTGTCTCTCTGTCTCTCTCTCTCTTTTTCTGTGTATGTGTGTGTGTGTCTGTCTATCTCTCTCTTTTCTCTCTTAGGCATGCACAACCTCAGATTCTCTGAAATTTTAAAATTCCAAGTAGAATTCATTAATAAAAATCTGAAATGCTTTTTCGTGTATAAATCATAATGAAGTGTTGAGAGATAAAGGAAAAACTAAGACGGGCAAATAATCATCTGCTGCTCCAAAACTGAAGCCTGTCATTTCAACTCCCAACTCAAACACTTAGTTTTAAAGTGTTTGCCTTCAAGAAACCTAAAAGCTGGTATTCTGCTTCATTGGCAACAGCCTCAAACTGTTCCCTGTCATTGAAGAAAACAAATCTTTTGCTCATTTCTGCCTAGGGGAGGCAGAGGGACCGGGGTGGTCCTATGTGGCTGAATTAGATGAAAGACTTGCCTTCCACCATGGAGACATGAAGTCTAATCAAGTGAAATGAGTTTTGAGATCCCAGCTCATTTCCTAGGGGAGATCAGTTCACATTACAAAATCACGACATCTCATTCATCACAACTGACGTGGTCTTTGCTCAGGAGAGGACCCCAACTGGGACTAAACCACCTGTCTTCTCTCAAAAAGGGGCATTTTATCCAAGTTAGAGTTGAAAGCCTTGGAATGAGGAAGCTTGCCAGCCACCAGCTTCTATCTGTGTGATCCATGTGCAATGTGGAAGGGAATTTAGCTTTACAAAAGGAAAGACAAACCTAAGGCAGATTGGTGGTTGTACTTTTACAATGCCAAAAACAAATAATTGTAATAGAGATGTTAAGGTATTATGGAAGAGAAAGCTAAGATTGGGACCCTCCCCTCTTTATCGCCTAGATTTTATTAAACAGCATTGAGAAGATAAGCACTCCCATGCCTCAGAGTTTAAAACGGCAAAGATAGTGTCCTGCTTTCCAGGCTGATAAATGATCATCCTCTCTTTTATTTCTTTCAGGGCATCGTTATAACACCCCTGCTCCTGCTGCTTTTTGTGAGTATTTTGATGTTGTCTTTAATATCTTTTATTAAAAGCTATCTACAATGTTTTAAGAAAGATCATTAGAACAAAAATGAAATTTGAATTATTTTGCACCATATTTTGAATTGTTATTCCAATATTGGAATTGTACCACATAATAATATTCAGATATGAAGAAGCTTCATAATTTCATGATCCAAGAACAGCATCAGGACCTAGTCATTAGGCCTCCAGCTCCTGGCTAAATCATTATATTACAAATAAATGACCCCATGACACAGGTTACAACTACTCTACTCTTTATTTTCTCATTAGTAAAACTAAAGTGATTGCTAGTGACCCAGTGTTTGATAGTGTTTAACAGAAAGAGCCCTAGGACCAGGGGATCAGAGGAAGCTTGGGTTCCTAGGCTGGTACTGATGATAACTAGCTTCCTCACCTTGGGAAAGGCTGCCTCAATTTTTTCCATCTGTAGAATAGGAAGTAACATCTCCTCCTTTCTATCGCCCAGAGATAATGAAAGGTGCTTTAAAAATTAAAAATACAAATCAATACAGGCTTCTAGTTAACTAAACAAAAACCGTCCTGAAAACAAGAAATGCTAATTAGCTGTCTTATTTCTTTTGGCAGTAAGCATATGAGAAATTAGATGAAAGATTATAATAGAAATTAATGTTATCTCATGCTGAGCAAAGCATATGTAATCATGAATGATACCTAAAATACTTTATGAACTGTGCATCTTTTCATACACACATCTTCCAAATATAAATCACTCTGCTTATCACTGAAATGTAGTGGGGATGTGTTTCTGGGAATGTAATGTAGCTGTTTGACTAACACTATTTATCAGTGAATTAAAACTGTGGGGAAAATTTATTTAATTATAGTGTAATTACCCAAGTTGGAATTCAATTAGAGTAATAGAATGAGGGACTTCATTTCTTACCCGCTGAGTAGGAAATAGGGAGGGATAGATATACTACTAAACAGTTGGATTCCACATCTTTCATGAAAGACAGTACCTTCAAGTAATAAACCTCAGCCTTACCCTCCCTTTTGAAATGCTGGCTCCATTCTGACAAGGTAAGAAGAGTCAAATAATCAGATCATTTTCCTCAGCATAACAAACTTCATTGACATGGACTCCACCAATGCAGAATTTGCAGTTAGTCAAATTGAAACTAAAGAGACTATTTGCATTAATTTGGAAGAAAAGACTTATTATGTAACTACCTGCTACTAGATGTGAGAAACTGGAATCATCCATTTGTTTATTCCCAAGACCTGGGATCACAGGACAGTTTCCCAGACGCAGCCCTTGGTGGGCACAGGATGCAGGCCTGTCTGAGGTCCCTACTTGCAGTAGATCAAGGGACTTGTATAGAGCTCAGCATCTGGTAAGTGCACAATAAATGGCTGCATCACCTAGGTTTTCTCTGCTGTGGAAGAGTGGCATCTCTTACTCTTGTAACTCATTTAAGAAGAGCAGGGGAGATGTTACAGCCACAACTAGGTGGCTGAGGCCTAGGGTGTAACACTTTGGAGTATCTCAGAGACTGGAATCTCTGAGACCCTTTTTCGACTTGTAATTAAAGAACCAAAGAGTAATCTTCTTGCCCTCCTTTCCATATCTGTGTGGTAACATGCTGATAAAAATTGTGGCATCACTTTATTACAAGCTTTCCCCTACTCACAGACCCATAGGCTCAGGAGCTTTAGTTGTAACGTTCAACATTCTAAAATTATAGAGCTACAAGAATAATGAAAGACTTGCCAAGACCCTCAATGTAAAAGTTTAATGCTTCCCTTCTGAGTCAATGGGGCTATCCCAGTAGGTTCAGTGGCATTATCACACACATCATTAGATACATATGGTATTATGACTTTATATCATATGCATACCATATAACACATTTTCTCTGTTTAGGTTGTCTGCATTTTATAAACAATGGAAATGTCTTAAGCATTTGGGTTACCAGGCCTCATTTACTGAGCAAGTAATGAGCAAGTAACTCAGCAAGAACTCATTTACTAAGCAAGTAACTGAGCAAGAACCTGAATGACTTAAAATGTGAACAAAGGCCACATGTGGTGACTCATACCTACAATCCCAGCACTTTGATAGGAAAAGGTGTGAGGATCACTTGAGCCCAGCAGTTCAAGACTATCCTGGGCAACATATGGAGACCCATCTCTTAAAAATGTATATATATGAACACATTCCATAAACAGTGTACTGTTTTTCTCAATGCCCCTGTTGTGAGTTGAATTGTTTCCTCCAAAAAGATATGTTGAGGTTTTGACTCCAAGTACATCAGAATGTGGTCTTGTTTGGAAATAAGGTAATTACAAAAGTTATTAGTTAAGATGAGGACATACTGGAATAGGGTGGACCCTGAATCCAATATGATTGATGTCCTTATAAGAACAAGAAGAGAAGGCAGAGACACACAGGTAGAACTCTATGTGGTGATGGAGGCAGACATTAAAGTGATACACCCACAAGAAATACCAAAGATTGCTGGCAAGCATCAGAATATAAAGGAGATGAAGGATTCTCTCCTATAGATTTCATAGGGAACATGGCTCTGCTTGATTTCGGATTTACGGCTTCTAGGACTATGAAACAATACATTTCTGTTGTTTTAAGTTGCCCAGTTTGGGGGCTTTGTTATAGAAGTCCAAGAAACTAATACAACTCCTGGAAGTAGTATTGTCTTATTTTATCATATTATAAAAATGGAAATTTCTGGGTATTCAGGCATAAGAGTTAATGAAGGCCATTTTTGCTGATGGAATCTCAGCTGTATTCCCAACCTTTTCTCAGAATATTTCCTTCACTTTCTTGCTCCAACCAAAACCTGTCCTATGATTCATGTTTCTGACACAGCCTTGAAATGGGGGAAGGTGTCTTCCTTGTACCTCATTACCAATTCCAGATCATTTCCCATGCCTTCTCCGTAAAATACCCTGGTTCCTTTGAAGATTGTGCCAACACAGCTATACTACCTGCTACTCCTGTTTGTTGTAATTATCGGTAGAACCCCAGGCCACTATCAGTCCAAAAAAATGTTACCATCTTCCCATTGTTTTCTTTTTAACAGTATACTTAAAAAATTCTTGGTATTTTCAGTATTCACATAGTTGGTCCTTCCAATACCCTGATCTCTAAATTCTTGACCTCATCTCCAGCAAGCTTGCCCTCCACTTTGTCTCAGCCAGCTACTCCAGGCCCTTCACTTTGTTATTGCCAATAACTACGTCCCTCAATAATCCAATTTTCAAATTTCCTCTCTGACTAACAGCCTTATGATTTATTCCCCAAACCAAAAGTTCTTCACTGGAATGGCCAATTCATTTACTTTATCACCTTTACAATGCATCTAACTATACCCCAACTCTCACCCCATGCCCTCACATCCCATCTTACCCAGCCTAGACCTCATGGTCCATCATTATAATTTCCTTTATTATATGCACCATCAACAATCTTACTCATCTCTACTGCTTCATATTTGCCTGGAAAAGTACTAACCCTACTGAAATCTAACTCTACACCTTCCTGCATATGTACCTGAACTTGCTGGAACAAAAACACTACCATGCTGACTGGTCTCATTTGAAATTCATGACAACTAAATGCAAGTGAGCCTGGCAATTCTACTACTTTCCTTTAATTAATTCACTCTTCTACTCTCGAGGATCATTTCACACCTTCTCCTTGCCTCTCAAATCTCCAGTGCCTCTTTTTTCATATCAAGTATTGCCAAAAGGAAATTGGCTGACGAGGAAATAAGCAATCAGAGAAATTTTATGTGATCCCACCCACCTGCATCTGTAGCCATATTCTTTGCCTTTTCTCCTGTTTCTATAGATAAACTGTCTTTTCTCTCCTCTAAAGGAAGTTCTTTGAGTTATGTCATCTCTTATGTCCTACTTAATGATATGATTCATACAGAGATTCCTTTTTCTCCTATATTATCACATTTTCTCTCTCTACTGGATTATTTCTATTAGCATATAAGCATTCTGTAATATTACACATCTTAAAATTAAACCTCACCTTATCCTACCTGCACTCCATTTCTGTGCTCTCTTTTTATAGCAGAATTCCTCAAAAAAGTTATTTAAACTTATTCATTACTCATTCAATAATATATACTGAGTTATTTCTACATGCCAGACACTGTCCTGGGTGTGGGAATATAACAATAAGTAAAACAGTTGTGTCTTTGCTCTCAAAACAGCATTTTGAGAATACTAGTGGAAAGAAACAACCAACAGATAAGTAGAAATATAGTGTGTGAGATGGGTGATAAGTGCTGAAGACAAAAGTAAAATAATGTAGAGGAATAAGAAGTACTGGATTGGGATGGGAGAGAGGGTTGCTATTTTAAATAGGACGGTCAAGTTCAGATTCACTGAGAAAATGATATTTGAGCAAAGGCCTGGAAGAGATAAGGGAGTGAGACTTCTGGGGTTAGAGTGTTCCAGGTGGAGGGAACATTAAGTGCAAATGTCCTGAGGGTATACCCAGTATCCTTAAGAAACACCGAGGTGGCCAGTGTGACTGGAATACAGTGAACAGGGGGGAGAAGAGATAAAGATGATGTCAGAGACAGAGAAGGGGACAAATTATTTAGGACCTTAAAGTCCTTTATAAGGACTTGGAATTTTAATTTGAGAGAGACAGGAAACCATTAAATGGGTTTTGATCAAAGGAATAGCATGTTCTGCTGTACTTTTTTAAAGGATGATTCTGGATGCTGGGTTGAGAACAGATTGTAAGGAGACCATGGTGGAAGCAGGAAGACCAGTTAGAAAGTGAATGATACTATGGCAAGTGATCCTGTTAGCTTGGACCAGAGTGTTTGAGTAAATCTGGTAGGAGGTAGTTGTAAGTAGAAGTGGAAAGTAGAACTGAGACATTGAATGAAGGTTTTTTGGGAAAGAGAAGAGTCAAAGGTGACTCCAGTCCTGAGCAACTGGAAGTGTAGAGTGGCCATTTA